TTACAACTCGTTTGTAACATGTTTTGCGGCAGTATAATATATATATATATATATATATATATATATATATATATGTAAAGTTTAACATAAAGAAGGAATAATAAAAATAAATAATTTTTTTTATATATATAAAATACAAAAGTTGTTTATATTATAATTATGATCTTTAGTAAACTAACATCATATCTAATATGTTTCACGTATCGTTTCACACCTCAGTAACGATTAATACGTTACGAAGCGGCACGAAAATTAATCCTATTAAAAAAGAAAAAAAAATTAAATTCCCACTGCATAATATTAGAATTCCCGATGACCCACTTACAAACGCGCTTGTTCGGAATCATGCGTCATTGGCAAATGCATTGTTCCTTCTTTCTAGCGGCAGCTGGCCCTCACCACCACTATCACCATCACCGGCACCATCATCACCGCCGTCAGGCAGAGGGTACATCTTGCACCCTTCTTCATTAAATAGCTAAGGTATCATCCTCTCCTTGGTTTTTAACTGGACGACTACGACGTAGGTATGTACCAGCTGCTCTTCTCTCTTGTCAAAAAGAAAGAGAGAGAAAGAAAGAGAAAAAGGAGCGATAGATAGAGATTCGTTTCTTTCAACGAATTTATTGTTTAGCATATGAATGGCGCAAACGCGAGCGCGCGTTCACGGTTGCACACATGGTGAACCCTTTGACATATTACAAAGAATTCAATAAAGTTTATAAGGAAGCCCGAAGGGAACCAGTCTCCGAGCCTCTGGCCAGAGAAAAATGAGAGAGGAGAGAGAAAGCTCGCGCGGGTCCTTCTTCTCTCGCCGTGAGAACGTGTGTATACCTTAAGCTACGCAGCTCTACGCACATCAATGGGGAGCAAAAGTGCCAGAAGAGAAACGTTTTCATAAAGCAACTATAAGAGCTATGTGGTCGATAAAATTTAATATAGTATTTTATATTGCAATTTATTTTCAGAATATTTTATATCTCAATATACCGTATTTCAATATCCAATATCCCAATTTTTATCGCATAGTATGAATTCTTTTGCAACAATCTTTTTTTTAAATAGATGCATCGAAAGATATTAGATATAGATAGTAAAAAATAATATTTTCTACTTTATTTCTAATGTATATTTTTACATATAAATGACTAAAATATTGATTATTTTGCTCATATTTTATTTCAATTTATATATTTTATAAATGACAATTCTCTTTTTTTCTCTCTTTCTTTTTCATAACTTTCTTGTGTCTTGTCTTCATCAATAACAACTGCGAGTAAAGAAATTTCTTTCGAAATTCGCAAAGAGCGAATAAGCATAGATTTTATTTTACCGATGTATATGTGTATTTTTTTGAAAAAAGAAAGGAGGGTACTTAAAAACTTATATTTTATTAATATTGCAAAAAATTGGTCATGCGTGTCGAATACAAAACGATAGAGTAAAAATATTTCTTTAGGCAACTAGAGCTCTATTGTGATGTGCGTCCGGCAGTCTAAAAACGGCCGAGACGCGTGCATCCATGTACGTAGACGCACACACGCGGGCGGGCGAGAAGCCAGGTGTTTTATTTCAAACCGTGGGACTCTCTCCTTAAAGAGAGGGATGCTTTTGCGCGACGCGCGCGTACTCGTCTCGCGGAAGCGAAGGAAGGAGAGGGACGGAGAGGACGAATGAAAAACAGGATTCGCGTCCCTCCACGCTTCGGGGGACCTCACTACTTTTATTGTGTTTCCTTGTTCCGATCGAACGTAACGTAACCCTCCCTCCTTCTCCCCCTTGCCGAATTCTTGCTTGTCCTTCGTCCTTTGATATATCGGGTTTTTCCTCTTTCTTTTTTTTTTCCCGCTGTTTTCTTTGTGAGCCATCGAGAGAGTATTATAAAAACATTCTGCAGCGCGACGTACGCGTTTCGGGGGTACGTCTTACACGTGGCACATGTGAAAAGGAACGGGGTGAGAAAGAGGGAAGAGATAGCGCGATGAGGAAAAGAAATATGCTGTATCTATATAAGAGAGCGCATCTCTGTCTTCTCTCGCGGACAGGAAATCCGAATCCCCGCGTCTCGCAAATTCGCGGGTAAGTCCGTGGTAAGCGCGGGAAGATCCTGTGGGGAGAACCGTTTCCCCCGTGCTCCCCTTCCTTCCTTTTTTCTTACTTCTTCCTTCTTTCTTGTGCCGTGCGACCGTTTCACGAAACGGTTACGTGAGCGCCGCGCTGCACAAAGAGATACGCAACTTCCTTTTTTCTTTTCTCTTTCTTTCCCCTTTCTTCCTTCCGAATTCGTGCGCGAACGTTAATAAAGAAGGTGGCGTGGACGTTATTTACCTCTCTTTCGAATCGACCGGAAATGCGCAGAGATCGATGACATCCTGCAGAAGAAACGCTCTCTCAAAGAAAATCATATCGCAATGCAAATGTATATTGTTATTATTGCGAATCATGAAATTCGAATCTGACATTTCTATAGCAGTGGCTTTTACATTTAAATAAGGTTTTATAGCAGAGAGAATGACTCTCTTTTATAACAAAGAGAAGAGAGAGAGAGAGAGATCTTCATCTAATTTTTTTATCATCCTATATTTCCATTTTGAAATAGCTATTTATTTATTCATTTTACTACATATTTATTCTTTTAAGAAATATGTATTCGAGTGAACGGAATAGGGAAGAAATTAAAAGGAGGAATAAATAACGATTTAAAACACATCTTAGATATTATATATCATATTAAATCTTTATTGCTTCATATTTTTTGCGCATTTTTACAAACGGCACGCTTTTTTATTTTGTTTTCGTAGCTTAAACACATACAGAATTAGTAACAGATTTAGGTAGTTAAAAATAAAATAATAATGTTAACAACATTGTTGGAATTCACGTTATATAATTCCCGGTAACTTGAATAAAATTCTATTAACTGAAAAAGAGATTAATTCGCGTGCGGTTTCTGATTCCAATGATTTGACAATTATAATATAAACTAGAATTTACACACATACATACACACACAAACACACATATATACACATACACATATGAAATATCTAATTTACTCCGAAAAAACTGTAAGTAAAAAGATATGAGCAAATCACAATGTTGCTGCGCTGTATATCCTCGTAAGCAAGTCATATTAAGCTGGCACTTAGCTTTCACCGATACAGATATGCGCGTTATTACGCTACAGAATGCTCTTATTTAAGAAACAAAGACCGCGAAGATTAATTTCGTTGGACTGAGTTTTCGATGCTGCAAACAAAAAATATTCAGGAATAATCAGATTAAATTATAAAATTATATGATTAAAATTCATATAGTAATAGATATATTTTTCTTATATTGTTCTTTGAGGTATAAAGCGTAAAAATGTATATTGAATCAATGTGTAAATATATATGGAAATCATAAAACATTAGCATAATCAAGATGCAAACAGATATAAAAGATCTTACAGATTTTTATCTTTGAAATTCGAGGCGAAGGAAGATAAAATCAAAAAGTCTTATGTACATATCGTTATATTTTATGAATTTTTTTAACTTTGTCAAACATAGTAAACATTTCTTTAAATCTGTAAAGCGAAACTGGATTCTTCATAAAACATATGATAAATTAATATATAAACTATTTTCGCATGTCTATAGCATCGAGATCTGAATTCGCCGCAGCGATACATTCTTATCAGAATCTTTATCAAGATACGCAATCGTTATCAGAAATCAATGTTGAATGATACGTCGATATATCGAGCAGATCCAGCAGGCCGGGACAAGTGCAATTTGAGTATAAATATGACAAATATTGCCTTCATCCCCACCTGCCTGATCCTCGAATGATCTTCATCTCAAACTACTCGAGAAGGCAAATTCCTGCCGAATAGCGTTCTTCCTCTTCTTCTCTCTCTCTCTCTCTCTCTCTCTTCTTTTCCCTCTCATCCGCCGTCAGTCGATCCCTTTGTTTCAAGTTCCACGATGGGACACAATGCATCCCGATAGGCCGGGACAAGTGCAATATTGAAATATTACGTTTCCACTGAATATTGACACGAATCTCGACCTATCTCCTATGCAAAATGTGACGGGGCTTTTCCGACGTCGATGAAGCGTCCAAACAAGCGATATATATTTTTCGACTCGACGGTAGTCATTCCGCTCCAATTTGTGATACAGGATCGTGCGAGTCGAAGCCAGGGCCGAACCTGTCTAAGGGCCCCGCAGACTCGGCTACAGTTCTCCGTTGTCTGATCACGTGTTTGTCTCTCTATAGAAGCTGTAAAAAGAAAAGAAATAAGAATTCTAGACAAGATCTAGCACTTTTTTTTTTAATAAAAATTACAGAGTTACATAATAGATGTGATGCAATTGAAATGTTTGTATTAACAATTATTATTGAAATATTTATTGTGAGGATGTATCAATAATAGCAGCGAAAAAACGGATTTCAAAAGTTTGTAAAGATTTTTTAAGAAAGCACTTTATATGAGGAACACGTGTATAAAATTAAAATTTAAATAACGTAAGAAGACGGAAAATAAATTTAAATTTAAAATTTAATATCACGTTTTATATAGTCAATTTTCGAATAAATTCTCTAATTGAAAATTAAGTAATGAAGCAGAAACAAAGAAAAACGACGCGTATGTTATATATGAGCCAATAAATTCCAGTTGACGATTCCACGAATCGGCACGCAAAATCATAACGGGTGCGTATCTGTGCGAATTCTTAAAAACTATTGCGAGAAAAAAAGAACGTGCGTTAACGAACTTTGTGTCTCGACAATCGACGCCGGAAATTGCGCGCGAAGCCGGTCTGTTCGCGTTTCGCGCGACACGCACAACTCGTTAGATTACGCGAGAGATTACGCACGCTGCGGCGTAACACACGCCTTCGTCCATTGATGAGGGCGAGAAATGTGCGCGCGCGCCCATCTCTCTTTCTTTCTCTCTCTCTCTCTCTCTCTCTTTCTCGCTCGTGTGCACAAGGGGCTCTCCGACGTGGCCTTGGCGGTCAGTCTCCAAATCGTAGAGCCTCTAACATCGCCTACTTCGAATCACAAATCATAGCCCGAGGTCACCATTCTCATGGACCATAGGTCGTGCCAGTCCCCGAGAAATAGGGCCTCTCGAGAAATAGGGACGGATAGGGACCAACCGCTGGAATTTCTGTGAAACGAGAAACCGAGGCCCGGCGTGCTAATTCTCGTATACATATATATGCACACAATGACATGAATACGCATACAAACGCGCGCACACATGCACGCGCGAACCGTTCGTTTCAAAGTAGCACGGTTTAGGAAGGGGACTAATCGAAATGATATAGAAACGTGCGATCTCTATATACATCTATCTCTTAAAAAAAAAAAAAAATAAAAATAAGAATCATGGTGTCGTGTAATATTTTCGAAATTTAATTTTCCACGTGAAAGGAACGAGTCGGACGCAAATGTAGTTCACCCGTATAAGTGCATTGTTTATCGCCGACGTTCCCTTTCTTCGTAACCCGATCTTTAACGCTGTGTAACGTAAACAATGTCTCGCACCTCGCGCTATATCGAGCACTGTCGAGAACGATCGAAATCTCTTACAAAAATTTCCTGCAGATTATTCTCGAAGGATCTATACGATTCTCTCTCGATCGACCTATGTCTGAATCCTTGAAAATAGCGTTCCGTGATTCTGAATACGAGATAAATACGAGATAAAAACGAAAAATAAAGCGTCGATGAAAACAATGATAATGGAATAAAAACATCAAATTGTATTTGTTTCCTTAAATTTTTGACCTTGTTTTCATTTCGAGCCAGAGAAAAACATTTTAATATCCCAACATTTTGTGACTCTCTCTCTCTCGCATTGTTCCGCGATT